TTTCATATACATTGCAAAAAAATGAAATCCACCAATCACCGTTCATATTTTGATTAACCGACTGCTATTATTTTAAAAATTTTAAATAAGTGACAATTCTGTAAAACTAATTGTCAGTATATTTTTTAGTTATTTAAATTAAATATACATTAAAATGGGTTATTCTTGTGTAGAATCGATAAATAATAGCATTTCTGTTCTTATTTCGTCTGAAATTATAAATAATTTGTTAATTTAAATAAAACTATATGAAGTCAATTTAAATACGAGTATAAAAGCAACAAAAATAAAAGAATAGGTGGTCCTGTGGCCAGCGTTCTTGCCTTCCACACAGAAGACTCTAGTTCGATTCTCGGATGACAAAAAATGAAATAAACTTTTTTTTTTTTCGTTTATTTTGTTTTAAAAACTATTAAAAGTCATAAATTATTTGTAAATTTTCGTTAGTGGGTCCTAGAAAAAATATATTGTACAATTCGAGTGGATTGTCCACATCGCACTCAGACGATTGAGCACTCCGCATACGGCGTCGTGCGCAGATTTCGTATTCGTGCAATATGGCCATCATATCCACTCTTGTTGCACAAACTACTATTACCTACCTTTTAAACCAAGTGTATGTGTGAAAGAAAAGAGGATGGCATTGTATAAACCATTTGCAGAGATAGTCAATAATAATTATAAACTCTTAATAAACCATAATCATAGTAGTTTTTTTGTCGTTTCTATGGCAACCTGTAAAAATGAATCACAATAGGCATACAAATAAATTTTTAAATCAGCAGGTGCCATTTGGTAAAGTAGGTACAATGTTTTTACATGCTTTTAGGGTAAATTTCATTTCGTTATCAGATGACGGTAAAAATCTGCAGTGGGCTCTTGGGCTATTATGATTTGATTCTGTATGCGCCAGGGATACAAATCCAAGTTGCGCAATGTATAAACTGGAACATTGATATCAAAAGCGCCGACGCAGAATGAGCGAACTGATTCTTTAGCTATAAGCTGTGCTTATAGCGTCTTCCTACCTTATAAATCCATGTTCAACACTCAAAAATGTTGATGGCAAATTTCTAAATAAAATACTTCGTATTCCTTTATATTTTTGGTGTTACTATTTTCGTGATCTTTTCTGAAAAGTCGATCCATTTCAAAAGTATTCAAAACTAAATTTATTTTACGAATACAAAAAAAATAATTTTGACTCGACCTTAGTTTAGACATTAATTTAGTTCATCCCTATTTTACAATTATTTCAATATGTGTTAATTGCATAATAATATGTTCTCGAAATTTTGTATACAAAGAGACTTTGTATATTTTTAAATTTATATTTAAAAAGCCAATTACATAAGCTTTCTATGGGTTTATTTTAGAACATTTTGAAGTTATTAATAATTGTAAATTATAATTGGTAATAAAACGGCAGAATCATTATTCATTTGTAATCTGGTTTTACTAAAATTTAATTATATCTGAATAATTTATTGCATTGTCTTCAAAACACGTTTAGGGAGTAGAAGTGACATTTACCTCCCTAGGGATCAGAAGTGATATTTTATTCCATAGGGGTTCAAATTGGCATTTTACTTCACCTTTTTTAGATTAAAATGTAAGCCATTATAATAATAACATCCCTCGTACACCGGTTATTCACCTACATAGACATTATAGTAATAAAAAAATAATCAATAATTATAGTGACGGAAGACTACGCTCAATAATTACATAACGATTTGATTAACTAACATTGAAGCAATTAACATTTTTATGGCAGACCATAATCCAGACAAAATGTTATTTTCATTCTCGGAATCAATACCATCAGATAGACACAAAAAATTATTGAAGAAATTTATGGCATCATTCCTTTGCTCGATTGTGTAAGTAATAAATTTTAACTGAAAACAAGGAAGAATGAATTGGTTGGGTAAAAATGCCTTTACGACGTTGTAAAATTTTCTATTGCCACTGAATTCAAGTAAGTAGCAAAATATACCAGTTTCCAGAAAATTGATACGAATATAGCGAACGCTGGAGTTATTTTTTATTTTTGGGGAAGAGAAGGGGGAGAAACGTTATAAAAATATAAAATAGATATTAACAACAACGTTTTCGTTTTTATATGATCAAAGAAGCGATTAACCAATTATCAGTTTATTTAAAGAAAGGAAAAACTCAAAGTCGACCATAAAAATTATTTATTAGAAATAGGGATGAAACGACTAGTTTCGGTCGGTTACCATCATCAGGCCTGTAAGAAAAATGTTGAACTAAAGTTTTATAATGAAGTTTAAAGTAATTTTAAACACATTATAAAATTAGTAAAGACAATATTTGAGTTAATAAACATATAAATTAATAATATTAGGTACATGAATGGTTAACAATTTATATTTTTTAACAATACTCGTACAATTTTTTATAGTACCTAAATAAAGAGCTAAAGGAAACCATAAATGATCTACAACACGTAAATAAATCAAGATAACGAGTAACTAACAATAGTATGTTAAAAATATTTATTTATACATTGTTTAACAGGTTAAACCCAATTACAGAACAGGAGTACATTTGAAAGAAAACAGTTTAACAAAAAGCATATAGATAATTAATCTAAAATTACAGTAAATAAATTCTAAATTATTTTAAACAATGTGTTTTTATGTTTTTAACACTGCAATTAAATATATCCAACTGTTCACTAATATTATTTTAATTATTACACATGTTATATACAGGTGAAAACTTCAGAACGTTTGTCCGAGGAGTTGCTATGTAAAATGATTCGGTGTTTCGAGAGGTTGCGCGGTGGACTCCAAAATTAAGCATATGTAAAAGAGCTTCACAATTTATTTTAAAATTAACAACTTTGTAGAGGGTAATTATGGAGAAGTACGTCCGTCTTACGTCGAGACTTGTTAATCTGTGTATAGTCAGTAAAGCATTATGAGTAATACCAATCGGTGGATAAATTTGGTCTGCCAGAAAACTTAAGTATTTGAGAAAACGCCTTTGTGTGGACTCTATCCGACAAATGTGTATTTGATGATCTCAAATAAACGAGGCATATTCGAGTTTAGATCGAACAAATGAGAAATACAATGATTTAATAGTATCTGTGTTTTTAAAATCACGGCCAACTCATACTATGAATCCATACATACGATTTGCTGCTGTTGAAATGTTATCTATGTGGTATTTAAACGACAATACTGGGTCAAATGTAACCCCTAAATCCATAAAGTTGTTGGGTCTAGAAAGCAAACGTTCATCAAGGACATAATCGAATATAATTGGATGCGCTTTTAATGTGTATGACATTACGTTACATTTGGCGGGATTCAGTGTAAGACCATTTTTGTTGCACCATTCAACAACTTTGTTCAAATTTTCCGACAACCGTTCACAGTCAGAAATATTTTCAATAACTGAATATATTTTTAAATCATCAGCATAGAGCAAATAATCAACATTTATAGCGTCACCAATGTCATTGATAAAAATATTAAATAACAGCGGACCCAAATTTGAACCTTGCGGTATACCAGAGGTGGCGCAATATTTGTTAGACTTGAATCCATTTAAATGAACATATTGTATTCTTTGAGAGAGATACGATTGAAAAAGTGTGATCAAACTATTAGAAAGACCAAATGCGCAGAGTTTCTGTATCATAATATTATGATCAAGTCTATCAAATGCTTTTGTCATGTCCGTATAGATGACGTCAGTTTGGACACGATTATCAATATTTTTAACTATTTTCTGTGTGATCACAGAAAGATTTGTTACTGTGGAACGCCCTTTAACAAAACCATGTTGCTGAGCTGAGATTGCGTTACAAACATGTTGATGAATACTACGTTCCAGTAATATTTCTAGAATTTTGCAGAAATTGCAAATGATAGAAATCGGCCTATAATTTTTGATATTAGTACGTTCACTTTTTTTTAAAAATTGGGCAGACTTTAGAACATTTCCACATCGAAGGAATTGTATTGGATTTAAGGCAGATATTTATCAATAGTTAGAGGGCGAGCTAATACTGCTGAACAATCTTTTAAAATGAACGCAGGAATATGATCCAGTCCTGTGGTACGTTTAGGTTTAATGTTTTTAAAAGCATCCTGGACCTGGGTTTCAGAAAAATGAGTTATATGAAGCTGAGATGGCTGGACGTCCTTTAATGGTATGTTTGAACCCTTGGAAGCGACATAAGATTGTCCAAAATATTCCGCAAAGCTTTCTACTATTTCTGTTGCATATTTTCAAAACTCATGGTGCTTGCAACTTTACCTTGGCATTGTTTATTATTAACGTATGCCCAAAATTTATTTGAATTTGCTGAGATTCTAGATTCCATATTTGCTATGTAATTTTTATAAGGTTCAGATACGCAAGTTTTAATTTCAGCTCTGATGAGCTTAAATTCTGATATAAGCGATAAAGTTTAGACTTTTTCCGAAGTTTCTTAATAATAGAACCATTAAACCACGGAGGATATTTTCTTTTATTACTTACAGTATATTTAGGAATACACTAATCTAGTATATTGTATAATTTACCATAAAAGTACGTGCAGGCATCTTCAGCATCATAGAAAACCTCCAAAAAATCCCAATTCACAGTAGATAACATTTCATACAAGAGCGGAAAATAGTCTTAATACTTCAATGTCTTCGAGTTCCAGTGAATCCAAATAATTTAATAGAGCTGAACCTATCTGAACTGACCCACGACAGCTTGTATCTCAGTCCAGGTGTAAAAGGTATGGTGCCTTGAGTTCATGTAGACGCAACAAAATATGTAGAGACTCACTTGGTGAGAGTAAAAGGCATCTGAAATGGGGGTGCGAGGCAATGGCTGCACCTGCTGCCTATCAAAGCAAAAACTTATTGAATTTGGAGGATCTTCTTTTGCAAGTTTGTAGAAAGCGTCTGCCTCTTTCTATATATTCGACGTTCGATTATCAGGTCAGATATTTTTTTGGGATCTTCTTATTTTCTTATATTGTCCTTAAGACGTATGCATAAAGCACAACAGTCTGCTGCAGGTGATGAAAAACCTATATTAAATTCTCTACACATAAAAATTCTATAAAACATGGATAAACTTGATTTATATTGTGCAGGTTGCTGTGAGTTAAAAATCTTATGCAATTTGGCAATACTCAAATTAGCTTGCAAGTATATTCTCACAGACTTCTTTATGTTGTAATATCTTTCGGTACCCCTTAAATTTCCAATAAAATCTCTTATTTTATTTTTTTTATCTTCTGTTTTTCTGGAAACATGATCGCCCCCACGAGTTTCCTTAGGCACTCCTCCATTGTGAATAACTTTCGCAACGGTATTGAATCGATTTTTTGATATTCCCAAACTTTTGGTAACAAAAGCTTGACATACTCTTATGGATTTCTTTTGAGTTCTTGATTGAAGATAATAAGTAATATTAAGGAGGCGTTTTTTTGGAATTACTTTGTTGGAGCGTTTCCTTACTTTTTCACAAACACCCAGCGTGTGACATAACTTAATATCCTGCGTAAGCTTATCAGGAGCAGCATAAAGCTTTCGTCGAATAAGTCTAATATCAGCCAAGGTAACAGTACTGCACTTATAACTAGCAATGTTATGATCGTAAACCTTAATAGTCCAGGATCCAACATATTTTTGTTGCTTGTTTAACTTTCGTTTCTCGGGAGTTTTGGGCTTTTTAACGCGGCTGCCAGTATTTCCTAAAAAAGGCGTACTTGTAAAAATAAAATAAGCAATTTAATAGAAATTTAATTACCTTCTCGAACAGATATATCAATGTCTCTGTCGTGCTCGTCCATCCTCTATCACTAATAACCAAGAATATTGCCGATATTAACGAAGAAACTTGTCAGAAAACAGCGTATATTCGCGGAAGTGCACTGGTTTTCGTATCGCACAACGTTCACAACGATTACAATAACAGAACTAAACTCTAAATATTATTTTCCTATAACCGCCCGATATTCGTAGGCTACCTTGGCGTAGAAAAGAGCCGAAAAAACGCTTTCGCAGACGGATTTATCCCTTTTTGTTCGAAACAGACCAATGCCATTTAATTTTCGGGATTTATCTGGTTTTGCTTGAATTGCTCGACTTTTAGGACGATTTTAAATGGAATTTAACGAGTTTTGGTTGAAACTGATTGCGCCATCGGATTTATCTCACCAAAAGAAATAGGATTCGATCATAAAATCCTCAACTGTTTCAAATGTGTAATATATTGTATTAAAATTATTTGCGCACTGTGTAAATTGGTTTTGTTACTCACCCAGTATGTGATTGGTGAGCTAGGTACCAAAAAGGGTTCTGGTTATTTTCTTGTATATTTATGGCATTCCGATATCCATTATCAATGAATAAACATCTTAGCGTAAAATCGCAGTTTTATTTTAATGTAATTAAAGTGTTAACCGAAGTTTTTACACTAAACAGCCTATCAATTAAATGTTCTTCAATACATGGAAGACGAAAAACAAACCGACTCAATCTACATAGACTTTTCAAAGGCCTTCGATCAAGTAGATCACAATATTTTGTTAAATAAGTTGCTTTCAGTTGGCTTCAACTTAGGCTTTGTTTTGTCATGGGAAAGCTCATTGACTGATCGTATTCAAATGGTAGAAATAGGTTGTTACTACTCAGATACAATTAATGTTACATTTGGTGTACCTCAAGGGGGCCATAGCTCACCTCTTTTTTTTAATATTTTTGTGAATGATATTGTTGGTTGTTTTGTGTACAGCCGATATGTGCTAAGTTTGTTGACGTTCTCAAGTTTTGGAGTACAGTTAAGAACATTTGTGATCAAGAACTCCTTCAGGAGGATTTGAATCGCTTAGTAGAGTGGTGTAATAAAAACAAATTGTACTTTAACGAAAATAAATGTTGCTATACAAGTTTTTCCCGTAAAGCTGATAGGATAGCAACAAACTGTTTTAATAATGATCAACAACTTGAATACAAATCATCAGTAAAAGATCTGGGTGTCATTTTTGATGAAAAACTAGCATTTGTTGAACATATAAACTCAATCTCTATTAAAGGAATAAAAATGTTAGGATTTGTTATGAGAAATTGTAAGTACTTCTCCACTGATGCCAACAGAATGGTCTACTGCTCGTTAGTGAAATCCGTGCTTGAGTATGGCTCAATTGTGTGGTCACCATTTTTTCAAATTAATTCTGATACTTTAAAAAGGGTACAACACAAATTTTTGAGAGTATGTGCAGTTAAAAGTAATGACAGGATTTCAGATAATGATTATAGTGCTATAGAAACTCAATTAAATTTGCCTCCTTTAAGGGAAAGAAGAGACATATTTGGCTTAGTATTTTTATTCAAAATTTTAAATGGAATTATAGACTGTCCTTTTGAGCGGGATTAGCCTAATGTTCCTTATTACCTTAGACTGAGATATCCATTAACATTTAATATACCGTTTCATATAACGAGCTATGCCGTCAACAGTCCTATTGACAGGTATTTGTCTATGTTAAATAATCTTAATTTAGATATGTTTAATATGGGAATAGCGAAATTTAAAACCAATTGTAAAAATGTGATACATGTTCCTTAACTTATATTTAACGTATATTTAAATTCACCTTAATTAATTGCTGTAAAAACTCACTTTTGTACTTTGTTTTTTGTTTTATTTTAGTAATGTTATGGTAATAGGATTTTTCTACCTGCCTTTTTATATTTCTATATTGAAAATTGTATAAATTTCTTTTCTGATATATTAAATGAAATTTCTAGACTTTACTATTCTATAAAATAATATCTTCCACTTGCACATTTTTTATTACTTAAAACTTATTCTATCAATAAATGGCATTCTCGGTGGAATTACTAAAAATTAGTTAATATGACCTTAATCATCCATTTTATAATAATTAATAAATATTGCTTACATTTTCTAAAAAATAGAATAGAAGATGTTGGTTTCATTCAGAAAAGTCAGTATCTGGCGGATCGGCCATATTGGGTTGAGAATATCCACGCCATAGAATAGGATAATTGGAGTGGTACTAAATTCAATATGGCTGCTTGCAGCGGGAATTTTGAAATTTAACTATCTACTAGCTTGGCAAAAATTTAATAAAGAATATCAAACAAAAAAAAATAAATTGGTTTAGTTTGAATAGTTTCAAATCATAAAACTACCATAATGACTCTTTTATGATTTGAGACTAGCCAAATATTTTGCCAATTTATATTTTTATTTGATTTTACTTCATTGCATTTTTGCATTAGTTTCAAACTTGAAATAAAATGCACTTTATTTTATTTTTAATTGTAATTTAAGTAAATTAATGCCACATCATACAATTTGTCTGTTTAAACACCCAAATGCTCTGACAAATATGCATTTACACCAATTAAATAATTAAATATTTACAAAACAAACCTATCAAAAATATTTTCTGTAACAAAATCAGCATGTATAGTGCTCAAGATCTTTGGAGTTTTACGACTTGCAAGTGGCAAATAAGTTTGAAAAATTGAAGTTGAAGCATCATCCTTTTGGTGTCTTACTATCAAGGCGAATTTAGGTGTATTATGCTTATCGAATCCACTAGTTAGGTTCTTCGAGCATATGTTTCATAGAGTCCGCATTCAATAGGGTTTGTTTACGTTACGAGGGGAAATGCCTAGACACTGTTACCAGTGTCGCATCATTTTTACGGGGTTTGAAATTAATATAAATAATAAATTTGATACATATGTTCAAAATTCTTTAAATTATGCACATATTTTATAAACTTGCATTATTTAAGTAGGTACCTATTCAGTAATAGTAAATAATTATTATTATTATTAATATTAATATTATTTTTTTTTTTTTAATTCAAACATCAGAAGTGTATAACGGAAAAATGACGATTGAAATAATAGGCAATAAAGAAGACGACCAAAAAAATTGTTTGCGTAAATTTCAGTCATACAAACTTTTTGATTTTTTGCATGACTTCATTGATCACCCCGTATATAATAAACCTATGGTCCTACGATAAATATGCGTCATGCAGCTTAATCCGAAACAAACTAGCTCTTAAAATCTATAAGCCGCGTTCAAAAATTTGCAATCCTATTGAAAATATTGAACTTTAAATTTTGCCTAAAAATCTCTATGTGTAAGTTCGAGTGGCCAGCAGTTTAGAATGAATATTTTACACTCTAAAGATTATATTATTTTTACTTTATAAAATGTAACGGTAGGAACCGTTTTCGTTATTTTGACACAAACATCTCTACTCAAATGTCATTTGTCGTTTATGCTTTGTGTCAAAAGTTCGTAATCATAGCCCTCAGAAAGTCTAGATACCGCTTGGCGTATACTGTCAATACAAAAAAATTACCCCATTCAAGCTTGTCGCCATGTTAGGTAAATGTATGTTTTGGCTACACTGATTTTTAGTTTATGTGTTCTGTAATACGTAAACACCGATAATCTGCACTTTGTTATTAGTTATAAGTGAGTGAGACGCACAATTTCTAATTTCAAATTAAGAACAAAACTTTGACAAACCTATTTGATATTCCTAGATTTGTTCAGACAGGACCGGTTTTATAAAATTTCTTGTTCTTGAAATGTTATTTTTACATGGTTATATATTATTGGATAAGTGGTTTGTGTACATATTGCTATGAGAATTATAGAGAAATTCAGTGAGATTTATGTAATATAATTCAAATTACAAGTAAACCATCTGTTCCTGTTTGGCAATATGGAGAAAATACCTACTTCAATGTCAAATGTACTATTTAAAAGAATGTGATTGTTAACCGGTCATTTATTTATATTATATTATGAAAATAAAAACTAAATAATAAATAATAACAAAAACTTTAACTAGGGAAAGATATACTTACATCGGTAACAAGGTATTTTTAGAAAAACTAATAGATTACTCCTATTCCTATAGTTTATTTGAAAATGAATAATAGCAAAATTATATAAAAATATGGACCTTTGCCATATAAACTCTGCTACCAAGCATTTTCAAATAAACTATGATAATTTGATTTAATAGAGCGAGTATAAGATCTCACCTGTTAGAGAAATTGGGGCATAGGGAAGAGATTATGAAGCAGGTAAGCAAAGTCATTGCAAAAGATAAATATATAGAAGTTATTTTAAAAATTTGACAAAAAACTAGTGGAACAACAAATGGAGTTGTCGCTATCAGAGATCCAATCAGCAGAAAGTAAAAAAAAAAAATTTGGGAATGTTGGAAAAGGGCCCAGCAATAGGCCCAAAACAATTCCTTGGTTTTTTAATAAATATAATCTTAGATGCAAAAAATACTGCTAGAGTGGAGAAGCAGTATTGTTCTAATGTAAAAAACCCAGGGACATACAGCAGTACACTAACCATAGGCGAATAGTCACTAAATTATACAAGAGTCCCATCTGGATTTTATTTTTAAATATTTTTCAGAATACCTATTATTATTTGTTACATTGAGTTTAATAAAACCACAGATTTCGAATGTATTGAAAGTTATTTAAAAAGTACCTCTATAAATATATAGAAAATGTGTATATGACTAACTGGTCTTATTAACCTTTTTTTGGGGTAGGTAAATATATTTTGAAAAATTTACAAACTTCTTTTGAATAAAAGACAAAATATTTCTGTTTTTATTAACTGAACAATATTTTATACGAACATAATATATACCTATTTAAAAGAAAATATTACATTTTACAAGTATCGCATATTTATATGAAATAACTTACTCAATAAGAAATAATTAAATGAAACAAATTAATAAACAATGGATATGAAAAA